AGCTGGGACCCCAATCTGAATGGTGACCTCAGGAGTGGGGACCACTGGGAGGGAACCTCCCCTGGCCTGACATGGACCTTGTCAATGAAGGAGCTAGTCACCACCTGCTCTTAGAAAGACAAAGCGGCAGGAACAATGCAGCGATAGGCTGTTCAGGCAGCTCCTGCGGCTGCTGGGACACACTGCACTGTGCTGCTCACTGATCCCTGCCTTCCCATTCACTTGTGCCCTGGCGTGCTTCCCTCTGCCCCTTGCCAAGAGATGGGCAGGCACTGGCAGGCAAGCCTGGGCTCGCCTGTGTACCTGACCTGTGGATGGGGGTGGAGGTGCACACACCAGGTGGGGTCAGGCTGGGGCAGCGGCACAGTGCCAGACTATGGTCCGTGCGCAGCCTCTTTACTGCAGGTTCCTGAGCTGGGCCTTTTCCTCCACAGCAGCGGTGGCTGCAGCCCAGCCAGCTGTGCTACCTGGGCTTGCAGACTCAGCAGTTTCTGCACAGTGTGTGTGTGTGTGTGTGTGTGTGTGTGTGTGTGTGTGTAGGGGCTTACACTCATACCCTCATGCTCAGACCCTGCTGCTAACTGTCCCAACATCTGGACTGGCCTGACTGCCCTACTTCAGGGTTAGGCTGTGGAACTCAGGCCTCATAGGCCACAGGGTCCCTGAAAGGCCAAAGCAGGCACTGGTCAGCCTTCACAGTTCCTCCTCTCCCTGAGGTAGACCTGGGCCCAGAGCAGAGGTGTAACTAGTAGGTTTTGCACCCTGGGAAAAATCTGGTGGGAGGGAGGATGGGCAGAGCCAGGGTGCTGAGTCCTGGGTAAACCCTGTTGGGAGTCGGGGGGTTTCTGAACACTGGAGAACAGGGGAAGGAGAAGAGTCTGTCTTATCTGTCCCAGAGATTCCCTGTGTTAGGTGAAGGTCCTGTATGCAGGTTAAGAATCTACATGAATGGTTGGATCTAGCTGATTGATCCTCCCAGCAGATGTCAGGGTAGTTTAGGTCATCCATGGCAACCATGTCTGTTGACCGTACAGCCTCTGAGAGCTGTCTGGAGAATTCCAGGTCCAGCTCATCCTCCTGATACGGCAGATTGTAGTAGACCCCCACTACCAAGTCTCTTTCCCCTCAACCTCCTTGCATTCTGACCCACAATAGCTCAATTTGCCCCTCCTCTGAGCTCATCTTGATTATGGAAGATGTATATTGCTCCTTAACACAGAGCAACACTCCCCTCTTTTTCCCTACTCTATCACATCTGTACAGTGTATAGCCCTCAATGCTTACTGCCCAATTGTAGGTAGGGTCCCACCAGATTTCAGTTAGCCCAACTAAGTTGAAGTTCTTGTTTGCAAGCAGGAGTTCCTCCTGCTTGTTCCCCATGCTCCTAGCATTAGTATAGAGACACTTGAGCCCCCTGATGGGTGCCCTTTGTGCTCCCATCCTGTTGCCCATCAGGCCCTTTAGTACTTATGTGGGCTGTTCCAGCACATGGCTCGTGGGTCGTTCTGTCTGTCATCTGCAGCCCCATCCCCTGATGAACCTAGTTTAGTTGTTGCTTTCCTAGTGGCCTTCCTTTTTAAGGAAGGCTTATAGAATTTCTTTGTGGACAGTGGCCAATGGTCCCTCAAAGTAACAAATAGGCCTGTTGCCAGTGCAGCCACATTTGGTTTTAAGTGTATGGAGGCACCTGAGTCAGGGTCTTAAATGGGCCAGATGGCACCAGGCAAGTTCAGGGAGACATCCCAGCCTTGGCTTCTTGCATCAGAGCTGCTTTAAGCATGGAGCATCCCCAGATCAGCCTGTCCCTCCACCCCCAACCTAGGCATGGGAGGTCTCACACCCACTCTGCACAGGGCTGAGTAATCAGGCTCAGGCCCCCAGGGCAAGGGCCCACAGGTAGCAGGGAGGTGCAGGGCTGGCCCGAGGCCTGTGCCTTGTAGGGTGACCACCTTTTCAAAATGGAAAAGTGGGACATACCCAGTGGCATGGTCAGAGCAGAGCCAAGTGGAGTGGGGCTGGTTGAAGGCTGCCCACTGTGGGTTTACAGCTCTTTGCCCTGCTGCCCTTCCTCCAGGAACTCTGCACCAGCCATGAACCCTCTGCATGCCTGGCAGCACTGGGAGGCACAACTCCACATGGCCAACATCATCACCACTGCTGCCAGGCACGCAGGGGGTGCCTCGCCATGGTGGCACAGTGCTCCTGAGGGGAGTGCATCAGGACAGGGACACTTGAGCCAGCAGCTGGCAACCCACATCTGCCTCCACCCTGTGCACAAATCAGGGGGGGTATGCCCCCCTCAAGAAGCCTCTCATGGCTCCATTCCATTCCCCGCCCCAGCCCCATGTACTGTCCTGGCTGAGCAGCACCCCCAGCCCCTGCCCCATGCCCTCTCACTGTAGGGGCCTCAATCTGATCCCCCCCCATTCCCTCCCCCCCCCCCCCCCCCAGCCTCCCTCTCCAAACCCCCACACAAGCAACTGGCTGTATTCCTGACCATGTACGTGTGTGTGGGCATGCATGTGCACTTGGCACTTCCTGTGTATGGCTTCTGGCCATGGTTTCTGTGGTGAACAGAAAACCCGGATCCCTGCACAACACTGTGAATCCAGGACAAATGCTGTCCTGGAGTCATGCAGTTTGGGACCAGGACTTGAAGTTTCCATTTTGGGACTGTCTTGCTCAATTAGGGATGGGTGGTCACCCTAGTGCCATGCCAGCTGGCAAACACAGTGCTCAGCGAGGTGACTGTGAGAGGGCAGCCTGCACAGATGTGGGAGTTGGGGCAAGGTCCTCTGCATGAGGCAGCTTTGGTCATCTTGGCATGGAGAGGGCAGCCACCCTGGAGGTGGGCACTGTATATGCAGCCTCCTGCTCAGCTCACAAGCCTGGGGGGGAGAGGAGGAGGGGAGCAACATGGGGCTTCCTAGGTGGTGTGCAGCAGCAGTAGCTGAGGGAGGGCTAGGAAGCCAGGCTGAGGCAGGAGGTGTGTGGAGCAGGGTGCCAAAAGGTAGAGCTTTCTTTCTGCTGGAGAGGAGAGGTGGGCTGGATTTCCCTGGTCTGTAGGCTCTGAGCAGGTTGCTCAAGACAAAGCCTGGCAGAGGAAGTCACCTGGCCTTTCTGCATGCAACTCTGTTCATGGGACTTGGGGTGCCCCCCCGTTTCCAGTGGGAATGGATTAACTCCATGTGGGACATGTGCATGCTTGAGTTGGCCTTCCGTTGGTCTTGAAGCTGCCTCCACACACTGCTCAGGCTGTAATGCTGCCATTCTGCCCCCGGCCTTGCCCTGGTGGGCTGTCACTTCACAGAGCTTGGCAGGTTGGGCTGGAGGATTTGAAGCTTGTTCTCAGCCCAGGGACAATTCAAGGCTCTGACACATGAAGTCTCAGTGCCTGCACTCCCAGGAGACTCAGCCTGAGCGGTAGTCTTCATCCCCAGGCACATGTTTATTCTGTCTTTTACAATAATAATAATAATAAAAAAAAAACGAAAACAAGGGCATTTCTTGCCAAGAGTTTTGTTATTGGACAGGACCCAGAAGTCAGCCAGAGCCTTCTCTCCAGAATGCTGGCTCAGCTGGGAGGAGCACAGGGCCTGAACAGACCTCGGAGCAGCCAGCTCAGCCCCACCTTGTGCACTCCTCCTTAATCTAATCAAACATCCCCTCTGGAACCAGACAGGTGTCTTGACCCAACTGTGACAGGTTCATACATGAGTAGCTTCCACATTGGAAAAGGACTGTGTACACAGTGCCCATGCATGGCCTGGCTTCTCTGTATTGCTTCAGTCCTACTCTTCAAGTAACTGAGCTGTGCTGTGGTTAGTGCTGTTTTCTTACCTGCAGAGAAACCTGTCTTCTGCTGTGTGTTCCTACCTGTTCCACCATAATAAAAGCTTTCAGAGGCCTATGGAGCAAGGCAAGGATGGGGTGGATGTGGGAAATGCAAGCCTGAGGCTCTCAAGTCATGTGTTGGTAAAATCCCAGCCAGGCAGTGCAAGCCCAGGCAGTGCAGGATGGAGCTCGTTCAGCTAAAAAGAACCTTTCAGCCCTGATCATTTCTGCTTCTAATACCTGCTACTCCTTTGCCTCCTCCCCTGCTCCCATGGAGGTGTGCGGGCACTGCTGGATGGGCAGTTTTAGAAGATTAATGCTGAGCCCCCTAGGGAGCTCTGGGCATTGTGTTGTTTTCTATGACCTGCACCTTTACATCTCAAGGGGCTCCATTAGCTGCCAAAGGGGTATGCCAGCAAAATGGCTGCACTTTCTCCTAGAGACACTATTTCTGTCTCACTTGTTGCAGTACTCACTGCCTCCCCAACAGGCAGGGGCATAGGAGGAAAATGTATGGCCCAGGTTCTGCTGGGCAAGGCCCTCCCCTTTCCCAGTGGGCACAGGCAGAGTCATGGGTGTGTCCCACAGTGACACTAGCTCTGGGCTGTCTCAGGCAGCAGCTGTGAAAGACACGTATGCCCTCTGCTGCCTTGAACAAGGGCTTCAGCACCTCTCTGTGCTTCCAGAGCTAACTCAGGGTGTCCCTCAGTCCTAGCACTGCTGACTGTTGCAGCACAGACCTACTCTCTCCCCTGAGACAGCTGGGCAGATGGGCCTGGAGCAGGCAGGGATGTATTGCCCCATTTCCCAGAACCAAGGCTGTAATCCTGTGGCAAGGAGTGTTGTCTGGGGACAGCTGAGAAGGGGTTTGGGCAGGAGCATCCTGCTGTTGAGAGGTGGCTGGCTGTTCTGGATGCTCTATGAGTAGAGTCCAAGCTCAGTCAGGATCTCATATATCCATAGATTGTTAGGGGGTGGAAGGGACCTCGCAAGATCATTGGGTCCAGCCCCCCCTGCACTGGGCAGGAAGACAACTGGGGTCAGGTGTCCATCCAGTCTTCTCTTGAAGATTTCCAGGGTAGGTGATTGCACTACCACTGGAGGGAGTTTATTCCACAGTCTGGACACCCTGACTATGAAGAAGTTTTTCTTAAGGTTGAGCCTGAATCGGTCTTCCAGAAGTTTTTAGCCATTACTCCTGGGTTTCCCCAAGGGTGTCCTGGTGAACAGTTGTTTGCCAAGCCCTTGATGTAGTCCCTTGATATAGCAGTAAGCTGCTACCAATTTTCCTCTTAGAATTCTCTTTTTTTAGGCTAGAGGCCCAGGTCCCTCAGCCTATCCTCGTATGGCTTGTCTTGCAAGTCTCTGATCATATGGGTGGCTCTTCTCTGGACTCTCTCAAGCACGTCCTTGTTGAAGTGCGGTGCCCAGATCTGGATGCAGTACTCCAGCTGTGGTCTCACCACTGATGGCTCATGTCTCAAAGGCCCTGTCAACCCTACAGCAACTAATGGTCCAGTGCTCTTCCCCTGCTGGCTGCTAGCATGGCTTACCCTGCAATCATTGCACTGCATTGGTTTTACAGTATCCCCAGCCCTGCCTGTACTGCCATTTCAGCCAGGTCAGCTTGTCTCAGAGTACATTTCCCTAGTATCCCTCTGCATCCAAGCTCTTGAGCACACTAGCCTACTAGACACACTATGGTACGGCTGCCCGCATTACCCAGAATATACCAATATGCACCCAACTTGACAGGGTAGTGGCAGAGTTGACACAGCTCGCTGTCAGTTGCAGTGGGAGCACAGCACAGTCTGTGGCCATGGGAACTGGCTCACAGACGCATCACTGACACGCTCAGTTGTGTCTCTGCTACAGCTTTTTACATGCTGAGCCCTCACTACTTAGCCCCCAAACAGCAGAGCTGTGGGGGTGCACCTGTGTGTTCTGGGAAACTGGGGCACTCTCCATGGCACCTTGTGGGAAGGGTGTGCCTGATGAGGCACAGTATCTACAGTGGGCCCAGCCAGTGCCAAGTCCTGTAGTGCTGTAAGCCCTTGGGAGCACCACATGCTGCCCTTGGGACTTCTAGACAACACTCTGGCACCCCAAGAGCCAGTGCTTGGTCATGGACTCCTGTGTCTGGGAGACAGCTCAGTTCATATGCTCACCGCTGACCACAGGGAACCAAAAGATCAGTGAGAAACTCCCATGAGCAGCAGCTGCCCTCTGGGGCAGCGGGAGAATAGGATCCAGTGGTGCTTAGAGCTCCCATGGAATGCTTGACTGGGGACATTCCTACTTTACAGATGGGGAAGCTGAGGCACTGAACAGATAAGTCACTTGTGAGGTCAAAGTGTGTGATACAGGCAGAGTCAAGATCAGATGCCAGGTGTCCTGCTGCTGTGCCCTGCCTCCCATTGATGCCCTGGTTCCTAGACAGTGTTGCTGACTCTAGTCATGACAGCTCGATGGGGCATATGGAAGCACTCCTGCTGTGTGGGGAAGACAGGGTGAATGGTGTCTCCATGGTGAAGGGGACTTTGGGGCAAATCCAGTTGGTCCTCAACCAGGAACAGAAAGAACAGCAGTGTGTGTAGCCATGAGCAGTCTGGCAGACAGGGGACAGGCATGACGTTAGCCAGGCTGGGCTTACAGCTGCTTAGGCAGGAGAAAGCTCCCTTTGGCACTGTCTGACAGCCCAAGCCTTGGCTACTGCAGTGCCAGGAGGGGATTCACTTCACTCAGCAAGTCTGGTGCTGTCAGCCTCCTACTCCTCCCTCTGCCCTACTGGGAGGCAAACTCAGGGCAGGCTCCTGCCAGCTGGAGAGCAGGGGCTGTCAAGAGCAGTGCCATTTCCTTAGACCCAGGCCTGGGTCTGGCTATGTAGCAGGACACTATTTGCAGCGATGGTTTTCCAAGCTTCCTCACCTTGCCTTGGCCTCTCCTTCCACCCTCCCACCCCTAATATTCTCCCCAAGGCTGGTTCTGTTTGCCATTTCACCTAAGGCTCCCTGCACAGCTTCATCTCCACAGCATGGTAGAACAAGGCTAGGCCCAGTAGGAGGGGTCACGTTATCACAGCTGGGCAAGATCATCCAAGGAGATGTTCCCCAGGGAGACCAGGCCTACACATGGTTGCAGAAGCACTGGGCAGGTGCAAAGCTTGATTGCTGGGGTACAGCCTGCTCTTTGTTGGCAGGGAGGGCAGAGAAAGCCACACACCTCAGCTGTCAGGGTGGAGTGCAGGGCCCTGCCCTTCCTTCAGTCTGTGGGGCAGGGGGGCATGCAGTGGCTCTGGGGAACTTTCACATGAGCAGCCCAGTCCAGTCAAGGGCAAGGTGCCTCCAAGCAGGACCAGGGGGATAGCAGGGCTGGGAGACCAGCGGACTTTAGTGCCAGGGATCTGCTTCCCACAGATCACAAGCTTGTCCTTGCCCCAGGAGAGGTCACAGCAAGGAGTCTCCTTTGTCCCACAGCTGCATCTCACCTAGGAAGCCTTCAGAGAAGGTGAAGCCTTGCTCAAAGCCCCAGGGGAGGGCCAGATCCTCTTCCTTGGCTTCCTCCAAGGGGGGCTGCAGAGGGTCTGTGAAGGGGATGATGTCTTCAAGGAGGGAATGCTCTGGACAGAGATGGTGGGTGTCCAGGACTCCCCAAGGGCTGGCAGGGCTGGAGTGCCTGCTTTGGGTCTGGCCCATGTCTGCTCCCAGAGAGCCAAGTGCTGCATTTATATCCAACTCCTCAAAGTTGCTGGCGCTTCCATCTAAGACATCATCGAAGATGCTGGCCCAGCTGCAATCCCCTATCAGGGTGCTGTCCCCAGCACCATGGGCAGGTAACAGTGGGGATGGGCAAGTTCTGGGTGTCTTGCTGCTGTACGTGGGCACAGGCTGCTTGCGTTTGCTGGTAGCATGGGGAGCACCTGCAAGGCTGAGGCTCTGGTCCTGCAGCCGCAGAGCATGGGCTGTAGCATGTCCTGGTTGCAACTGCTCACTCCCCAGGTGGAGTGTTGGAAATGAGAGGCCATAGGCAGTGTTTGGACTGGGCACCACATCAGGCTGCGGTAGGGGGTTGTAGGTGGGGGCTGGCGTGCGCCTCCTCTTGAAAACCCCGTTGACAAACATATCTGCATAGCGGGGGTCGATTTGCCAGAAGCCCCCCTTTCCTGGTTCGTCTTTCTGCCGTGGCACCTTCATGAAGCACTTATTCAAGGACAGGTTGTGCCGGATGGAGTTCTGTGGGCCAGAGGGCAGAAGGAACAAGGCTGTGAGCGATCAGGCAGCCCAGGAAACTGCTGTGCATTGCCCAGCTGCCTCCAGAGCCTATGGCACCCAGCTCAGAGGCTTAAAGCAAACAGCCCTGCAGCACCTTGACAAGGGATCTTAAGGCACAGGAAGTTCATTAAGGTGCCTAGGGGCTGGGACTGAACTAGAATGGAGGCCTCCCACTGGGTTGTGGGACTTAGTAAGCCCTCTATGGGGGGTGGGATGGAGGAGAGTAAAGCTATAAACCTCCCGCTCCTGGAGTCATGTGATGCCAGCAGT